AAGATTCATATGAAACATCTATGAGTAAAATGTTAGAAGATACAGAAACATATTGCAAACTAATTAATAACCCTACAAAGTTATATAAAAAGGAGCTAAATAAAATAATAGAATATGGAAAGAGAAAAGATATTTTAGATGAGAAAGAGGCAAAAATATTTGGTACCATCGGTGAGTAAAATACCATTATTTACTCTATACCAAAAATACATAAGGATTTAAAGAACCCTCCCATGAGACCAATAGTCAATGGAATAGATGGACTAACATCCAGGATAGGACAGTACATAGACCAATTCCTTCAACCCCTGGTAGAAAAAACTAAAGCACATATTAAAGATACCACACATGTTATCAATACCATACAAACGATTGAGGTAAATAGTGAATTGATTCTTAGTACAGCGGACGTCTCCTCATTATACACCATTATAGATCATACAGGAGCGTTAGATGCAGCACTATGGGCCTTAAATAAATACTCCTCTCTTAGCAAAAAACAAATAAAATTTCTGATTAAATGCATAAAATTCTCTCTTGGACATAATTATTTTTGGTATAAGGAGAGTATTATCTACAAGAGGTGTGGCGATGGGTGCCCTTTTCGCACCTAGCATCGCCAACCTATATATGGCGAAATGGGAGGAGGAAGTAATATTCAATGACATCAACAGCAATATAGTTCGGTATGGTCGATTTATTGACGATATTATACTATTATGGAGAGGGATGTTTCCATCATTGATTGAGTATTACCAGAATTTGAATCAGAACACCAAAAACATCACATTAAGCTGGAATATTAATAAAAAAGAGATAAACTTTCTAGACCTTAATCTTACAAATACAGGGAAAGGTTTAATAACAACAAATTATTTAAAAAAAAACAGATCGCAACTCATATATTCCTGTCAGTAGTTGTCATCACAAACCATGGATTAAGAATGTCCCTAGAGGGCAGTTCTTAAGACTGCGACGCAATTGTACCAATGTAGATGACTATAGAGAGCAGAGTAAAATATTGACCCAAAGGTTTGTGGATAAAGGGTATAAGAGAGAAATTATATTAGAAGAAAGTAGGAGAATAGAGGTCATAGATAGATCAACATTATTAGAAAAAGAAAAGTACAACAAAAAGCAGATGAACAAGATATATCGATAATATTACCTTATAATAAACAACACAGAGATATCCAGAAAATTATTATCTAAGCATTGGAACATACTGAAATTAGATAAGACCCTTAAACCTATTATTAAAGATAAACCCCGGTTTATTTACAACAACAAGGGCATCTACTGTTTCGAGATCAAGTAGTTAAAAACGTATTAGAACCTCCCCGGAAATCTATTAGTACCTTGAGTTTTTTCAATGAGACAGGGTTTTATAGATGTGGCCGATGTTATAGCTGTAAAAGAACGTATGGAAATCCAAGATGTAGACAATCATTTATTAATCCCAAAAATGGGAAACAATATGAGATCGATCAATTTATTACATGTGAGAGTAAGGGTGTAGTTTACGCCCTGAAATGTCCATGTAATTATTTATATATAGGACGTACAAAAAGATGCCTTAAAGAACGTATGAAAGAACACATACACAATATAAGTATAGGTTATAAAAATACCATCATCTATCAGTACATTTTAAAATGCACCACAACCAAAATCCAGAGAAAGTAGAATTTTGGGGTATCACCAAACATAATCCACATTGGAGGGGAGATAATTTGGTGCGAGAAATTAGTAAAAAAGAGTCATTCTGGCTATAATAAAGAGTTGGGTAGTTTAGCACCAGGTGGGTTAAATAAGGAATTCGATTTATCATGCTTCATTAGTGACGTTTAGAATTTAGCATGATATATGACGACATTACATATGGTTCCTGTTACATCACCTGTTATAGTATATGCACCTGTGTGACGAATATGGAGAAATAATACATATTGGTTGTTTTCTCTCATTTTGCCACATAGATGCATATATATTTTGGTCATTGCCTACATATAGGTAATCATTAGGCTGGTATGGTATATTATAGATGGTTTATGGTTAAAGGTATAATCCGTGCCCACTTTATTATGTGGGGTAGTAGAATCTTATTTAGGTGGTATATAATGTATATTTTATTTATTTTATATTTTACAATTTTAATTTCATGTATCTTACATTTATAATTTACATTTCCACAGTTTTTAAGAATGGTAAACTGTAGTAATGTTATATAGGGGATACACATTTAGAGTATCTATTTAAAACATTATTTTATATTTTTTCTATTCATATATATACAGTACACTCTGTGTATATATTTTTATTGGCATTTACATTTTATATAATTTAAATAATTGCTTATATATCGATGTGTGTGTTCCCATACATACATCGATATGTATTATTGTACTTGTTATTTTTTGAGGTATTGGATTGACACATTGATGTATATAAATGATTGATTTGCATACCGCTTAGCCGTAGAGACATGTCACTATGTTATCTCTCCGGGTGGACATAGCAGTAAAGATACAAATGTAACTATTGGCATTAATATCGCTGTGCAAAGTGCCACCAATAACATGGCCGCTTCCATTAGATAGACAACAAAATGGCGCGGCTGGGCTATTTAAACCGGCAATGGAAGAGTGACTAACCTATCACAAACCCCTGATGAAGCCACGTGACCAGTGGCGTAACGCGTAGGGGTGGGGCTGCGGTGTCACTCGGAGAGAGCCAGAGTGTTTTGACAGACGGCGGGTGCATGGCTAGACGGTTGGCGGATTACTTGAGCTGAGCAATTCATCCTATACCGCATATTGTTTATGTGAGTGTACCTGTTGGGAAAGCAATAAAGCAGAAACCTTTCTACAAGGATAAAACACTATGTCTGGCAATTTTTTTTCCCCACATATGGAAAAATGCATATGGGCTAATTGAGGATAACGGATATCCACGTTTTCACAATCTGTAAAGGAGGAATTCCATCTAAGCAGGTTCCATAGGAGGTGAACCACATGTGTGTATAGCCTAATTGCAGGCTAAGAAGGAAGTGAGCATACATCTTCACTAATTAAGGATTCAAAGAAAGTCACGGATTCACAATAAGTCACCTAATCAAGATTTAATCAAGCACAAAGTCACTGAATTTAAAGGACATTTATATCACTAATTAATTTGTAGATCATATATATATATGTTTTAGGTTATTTATATAATTTTTTTTTTTTTGAATATTTACTAATCATGATGCACATTGATTTATTTATAGATATGTTATAGTACATATTATTTTATCACTTATTGGTTCTGGGGATATTATTTCCACACATATTAGTGGAAAATATATATGATTTTTTAGTAATATATATTTTTTATTTTGCATACATTTCTTGCACAATCACCGTATTATATATTATTTGTTTACCAAGGGTAAATAGAGTTATTTAAATCACAGTTATTTTTCACTGGGAGCGCAACACAATATGAATTATTAACTTTAGGGACACAGAGGTAGTAGTGTGTTAAGTGTTTGCGATCCTATCAACATTTGGGACAGTGTGTGTCCATTATTTTGATGATCTTGGGGGATTAACATCGGGTGGATATAAATTGGCTCGCAAGTCACACAGATATCTGCTAATTGGAGAAGGGGAAATGCCACCACTACTTACCTCAGACAGCAGCTGGAACTGGCTTTTCCAGCTTGCATGATCAATTTCTCCTTAAAAGTGAACTTGGCTCTCCCCCATTTCATTTTTACCAGAAAATAGAGGTGATATATAACAGCTGTAGTTCAACAGGAGTGGACACAGAGAACTCCCATTCCCTGTACAAAGATCAGTGTGACGGGCGCGGCTTCAGACCCCTGACCTTCTCACCAAACTCGTGACCGAAGGACTAGCCAATCCAACACCGCGATGCCACATGCGTAACAATGCCACGCCCAGCTGCACCTTGCACAACGATTTTCCAGCTAATTGGACAACAATCTATGTACCGACAGCCTGGGAGCGATTGTTACTGGGTCAGGTTAATTACGCAATTAACCCTTCACACTGCCACCACCTCCTTTTTATACAGAGAAAGAGGAAACTCAGCAATACACTAGGATGATTGGTTAAACATCAGTATCCCGCTATCTCTACAGACCGGTTATACAGAGGGTTAAATACTCATAGTAGCGCTCTTCAGCGGCAGGAATTCGTAAGTTACATTCAGGAGCTATAGAAACAGTTCAACACTTTTAGAAAGTAAGATTTATTACTAAAAGGTCAAAAGAGTGCAGTAGAAATATATACAGAAAGAATATGTAACATATATATATATATATAGAGCATAACAGCACAGCAAACAGATAACAGGAGTTTAAAGGGTTAAAGTACTTGCCAGTTAGCCTTGTGGTTTTAAGCAGCTTCAAGTCTCATGAAAAAAAGGATGCTTTGATCTCCTACTGTTAGTTTCGATATTAAGGCAGGGAGATCTTCTTTTCTCCTTCTCTGCGAGATGTTGCACGCAGAAAGTCCTCACTTCTCTGACTACACCCCAAAACATAACAGCCTCTTTTTCTACACAACATCAACTGGTATCTTCCTACCACGGACAAGCCAATACCTTATTTGGCAAGAGGATTGTTTAAAGGCAGGGGCTAGCAAGGTACGCTGAATGCATTCCTGAGGGAGGGGGTGGAATGGAATGAGGGGATACAGAAGACTTCTTAATACAGTGAGTGCCTGTGCCTGCTCTTGTATGCACGATACTACACCTCCCCCCTCAGGTGATGGCATATGAGTTTAAGAGCAATACTAAAATGTAGAAGTTTGGGGTAAAATGGAGAACCGCACCTCTCCCTGTGGGCATGATTGTGACTAGAGATGAGCGAATTATTCAAAAATTCGATTCGGCTGATTCGGCGAATTTGCGGAATAAATTCGATTCGAGTCGAATATATTCGCTGCGATTTAACTTATAAAAAGGGTGTTTCTCTAGGCTTCAGAGAGCCTTTATATTAGTGCAGAACACTGTACCTTTAATTTAAATGCCCTTGGAGTCTGCTGGGGAAGAGAAATAATACTGTCAGTCAGTATGACATGCAGATGAGTGCCGTCGATCCTAGAATCACCGCACACTTAACTCATTTGGGCAGTCACGGGGCTAAAACCAGAGTGTGGAGCCACAGTGTGGCGGTGGAGGCAGCAGCAATGGGAGGCCATACAGCACCCTATGACAAAATGGAACCCACCAGCAGTGTGAGGAGACCTGAAAGTGGCACATGGCAGAGTGTGGCGATGGAGACAGCAGCAATGGGAGGCCGTACAGGGACCCATGACACACTCTGGACCTGGCAGCAGCATGAGGAGGCGGTACGGGGGCCCATGGCAGATTACGGGCCTGGCAGCAGCAATGGGAGGCCATACAGCACCCTATGACAAAATGGAACCCACCAGCAGTGTGAGGAGACCTGAAAGTGGCACATGGCAGAGTGTGGCGATGGAGACAGCAGCAATGGGAGGCCGTACAGGGACCCATGACACACTCTGGACCTGGCAGCAGCATGAGGAGGTGGTACAGGGGCCCATGACAGATTACGGGCCTGGCAGCAGCATGAGGAGTCAGTACGGGGGCCCATGGCAGATTACGGGCCTGGCAGCAGCAATGGGAGGCTGTACAGGGACCCATGACACACTCTCTGGACCTGGCAGCAGCATGAGGAGGCGGTACAGGGGCCCATGACAGATTACGGGCCTGGCAGCAGCATGAGGAGTCGGTACGGGGGCCCATGGCAGATTACGGGCCTGGCAGCAGCAATGGGAGGCCATACAGCACCCTATGACAAAATGGAACCCACCAGCAGTGTGAGGAGACCTGAAAGTGGCACATGGCAGAGTGTGGCGATGGAGACAGCAGCAATGGGAGGCCGTACAGGGACCCATGACACACTCTGGACCTGGCAGCAGCATGAGGAGGCGGTACAGGGGCCCCATGACAGATTACGGGCCTGGCAGCAGCATGAGGAGTCGGTACGGGGGCCCATGGCAGATTACGGGCCTGGCAGCAGCAATGGGAGGCCCGTAATCTGCCAGCACCCTATGACAAAATGGAACCCACCAGCAGTGTGAGGAGACCTGAAAGTGGCACATGGCAGAGTGTGGCGATGGAGACAGCAGCAATGGGAGGCCGTACAGGGACCCATGACACACTCTGGACCTGGCAGCAGCATGAGGAGCGGTACAGGGGCCCATGACAGATTACGGGCCTGGCAGCAGCATGAGGAGTCGGTACGGGGGCCCATGGCAGATTACAGGCCTGGCAGCAGCAATGGGAGGCCCGTAATCTGCCAGCACCCTATGACAAAATGGAACCCACCAGCAGTGTGAGGAGACCTGAAAGTGGCACATGGCAGAGTGTGGCGATGGAGACAGCAGCAATGGGAGGCCGTACAGGGACCCATGACACACTCTGGACCTGGCAGCAGCATGAGGAGGCGGTACAGGGGCCCATGACAGATTACGGGCCTGGCAGCAGCATGAGGAGTCGGTACGGGGGCCCATGGCAGATTACGGGCCTGGCAGCAGCAGCAATGGGGCAGGCCCGTAATCTGCCAGCACCCTATGAAAAAATGGAACCCACCAGCAGTGTGAGGAGACCTGAAAGTGGCACATGGCAGAGTGTGGCGATGGAGACAGCAGCAATGGGAGGCCGTACAGGGACCCATGACACACTCTGGACCTGGCAGCAGCAGCAGCAATGAGGAGGCGGTACAGGGGCCCATGGCAGAGTGGCGAAGCGTAAGCAGCTTAAAATTGAAGGCCATACAGAGGCCTATGTTAAAAATAATAACATGTTTGGGGCACGATTCATGGCGGATTTAGTCAGTTGTCAGGAACTGGTGGTTTGAAATCCAGACTAATCCACGCCTGATTCATTTTCACAAACGTGAGTCTCTCCACACTTTGGGTGGACAGTCGTGTCCTCCGCGGAGTTACAATACCTCCTGCCGCACTAAACACGCGCTCCGATGCCACGCTACTGGCCGGGCATGACAGCCTTTCAAGGGCAAATTCAGCTAGTTGGGGCCAAAGGTCAAGTTTCGTTGCCCAGTAGTCAAGGGGATTGTCTACCTCGGTTGGCAGGGTGCTGTCCAAGTAGGCCCAAGCCTGTTGTTTGAGGTCCTGCTCCAGGTCCACCTGATGCTGCTGCTGCTGCTGCGGCTGGTTAGTAGTTTCCTCACTGCGCTGGTGAAGAAAGCTACTCATCATCGACTGCAGACTGAGGCAGCCGCTGCTGGTGGAGCTGCCACTGCTCCTACCACCCCACCCCTCCCCTGCTGCCATGGCAGCGGAACGCGAGCGCACAGGGCCCACAGTGTCTGAGGATGGACGTTGGCGCAGAAAGGCAGAGACCAACTGACTACATAGGTGGTTTTTATAGTACGTTATTTTGGCCTCCCTCTCAGCAGGTGTGAAAAAGGCCACCATTTTTGAACGGTAGCGAGGGTCCAACAAGGTGGACAGCCAAAAGTCATCCCTCTGTCTGATGGTTATTATTCGGCTGTCGCTACGCAAGCAACCGAGCATGCTATGGGCCATTTGTGCCAAGGAATGCGAGGGACTCCCTGCCTCCATCTCCACAGCATACTGCCACGGTGCGTCTGGGTCCTCTGTCTCCTCCTCCTCCTCCTCCTCTACCAGATGCTCCTGCTCCTCCACTCCTGTCCGCTGAGTGGAAAAACCACCCATTTCACTCAATAATTCCTGAGCACCAATGTCCTCCTCTACCTCCTCCTCTTCTTCCTGTCCTGCCCCCACAGGGGTCATGTGGCGTTGAGATCTGTGCGCCACGTCTACCGCACCCTGACCAGCCATTGTTAACAGCATTTGTTCCAGGACGTGCAACAGAGGAATGACGTCGTTCATCCCATAGTCCTGCCGACTCACGAATAGCGTGGCCTCCTCAAAGGGCCTGAGCAAGCGCGGCAGGTGTCACGCATGAGCTGCCAATGGCTGACATCTAAGTTACACAGGGGAGTACCTTTATCCGCTTGTAACATCAGGAAATCGGTGATGGCCTTTCGCTGTTCGTAAAGGCGGTCTAACATATGTAGGGTTGAATTCCACCTTGTGTTGCAACGTCGCAGATCAGGCGATGCTGTGGAATTCCGTTCTGCCGCTGCAGCTCAAGGAGGGTGTGCTTTGCGGTGTAGGAATGGCTGAAATGCATGCAAAGTTTACGTGACATTTTAAGGATGTCTTGCAGTGGGATGGTGGATTTTAGGAACCGCTTGACAACCAGATTGAACACGTGAGCCATGCATGGCGCATGGCACAACCTTCCTTGACGCAGAGCAGACACCATGTTCTTTCCGTTGTCGGTCAACATGGTTCCGATTTTCAGTTTGCGCGGAGACAGCCATCTGTCGATTTCTCTGTTCATTACACTCAGAAGTTCCTCCCCTGTGTGACTACGTTCGCCAAGGCATACCAGGTGCAGCACAGCGTGACACCGTTGCGCCCTGCACATGTGATATGCCGGTCGGGTAATGGGACTTGGCACGGGGGTGGCGGCTGAGGACACGGCGGAAGAAGAGGTGGTAGAGGCGGACATCTTTGCTGGACCAAGGACGTGCAAACGTGGAGGCAAAAGCGGCGTGACCTGTCCAAGTTGCTGGTGCGGCTGTGCCGGCACCACGTTCACCCAGTGGGCCGTAAATGACATGTACTGTCCCTGACCGTAGTTACAGCTCCACACGTCGGCGCTGCCGTGCACTTTGGCAGAGACCGACATGCTCAAAGACTGGCCCACCATCTCTTCTACATGTGAATGCAGGGCTGGCACTGCCTTTTTGGCGAAGAAATGCCGGCTTGGCACTCTCCACCGCGGCTCGGCACAAGCCATCATTTCTCGGAAAGGTGCTGAGTCCACCACTTGGAAAGGGAGGGGACTGCAGCACCAGCAACTTGGACAGGAGGACGTTCAGCTTCTGCACCGTCGGGTGCGTGCTCGCAAACTGTTGTCTCTTGGAAACGGATTCCAAGAAAGACTGCTGACGGAATCCGTGAAGAGGAGTAGCAGGAGAAGGAGCATCTGAACGAGCGGAAGATGCCAACGAGCGACAACTCCCCTCAGCAGAGGTGTTGGAGCCTTGACTGGCTGATAGAGGGCGATTGACGTCGGGTGACGGAGCAAGTAACGGAGCGGGTGATGGAGCGGGGGCTGGGGCAGGCAGAACCGCCGTATCTTTATCACGGTTTTCCCAGGCCACCGAATGGCGACGCTGCATATGCTGACGCAACGCTGTAGTCCCAACATGGGCCCCCTGGCCACGCTTGACTTTCTGGCCACATAGTCGACATACGGCTACGTTTACTTCCTCGGCGGCTTGACGAAAAATTGCCACACCGCCGAGTAGGAAACTTTGCCCCCGCTACTCCTCACTGGCTGACTGCTACTTCCTCCGTGCACACCGGCACCACTACTGGCCGTGGTGGTAGGCTGCAGTGGAGCTGGTGCTCTACTCCGTGGCCGTTTGCCTCCACTGACACTGCTGCGACCCTGCTGCCTCCTGGGCAACCCACCGACTGTTTTGCTCGCTGCCAAGCTGGCACCCTCTTCTCCTGATGATGCGGAAGCAATAGCCTGATGACGACGAGGCTGCCAAGTGCGATCAGCCTCATCATCATCAATTAGGGTCTCCGCCTCACTACTAGCCCCCTCGGCTGCGTGTGGGTCAGGAGACAGACCTGTCTCTAGACCGGCTACCGAGCCACTCTCCTCGCCAGTACTTCTTCGCCTGGCTGCTGAAGAGGCGGATGTCTCCCCCCGTTCCTGACCGCCCTCTGTTAGCTCTTCCTCACTGTACAGTGGGGCTGAGCCCACAGCATGCGATACTTCGCTTGGTGAGGGAACACCAAAGGACAGGGGCAGGTAGAGGACACGTGATTTCAGTGGGCTTGCTCCCGGGCCATGCCAACTAACGGTTGTGTCTGACGTACCCACCGACCGTTGGCTGTAGGTGTCAGAGGTGACCTGGGAAGAGGAAGACGACCGAGCCAACCAATCGATGACGGCAGGGTTGTCGGTGGAGACACGACCGCTGGATGACACCGGGAGCACTGGCCTCTGGGCTGCGACTAGTGCTGCCTCGACCCCTTCCTCTGCTGCCACGTCTGCTCGCTCCTGAAACATTGCCTCCTCTGCCACTCCTCTGCGTGTTGTCTGACATACTCTTTAATTCAACGATTCTGTGTCCCTGAGTAACGATTCTGTGTCCCTGAGTAACGATTCTGTGTCCCTGAGTAACGATTCTTGTCCCTCAGTAACGATTCTGTGTCCCTGAGTAACGATTCTGTGTCCCTGAGTAACGATTCTGTGTCCCTGTGTAAACGATTCTGTGTCCCTGAGTAACAATTCTGTGTCCCTGAGTAACAATTCTGTGTCCCTGAGTAACAATTCTGTGTCTGTGTCCCTGAGTAACAATTCTGTGTCCCTGAGTAACAATTCTGTGTCCCTGAGTAACAATTCTTGTCTGTGTAACAATTCTGTGTCCCTGAGTAACAATTCTGTGTCCCTCCCCTGAGTAACAATTCTGTGTCCCTCAGTAACAATTCTGTGTCCCTGAGTAACAATTCTGTGTCCCTGAGTAACAATTCTGTGTCCCTGAGTAACAATTCTGTGTCCCTCAGTAACAATTCTGTGTCCCTGAGTAACGATTCTGTGTCCCTGAAGTAACGATTCTGTGTCCCTGAGTAACAATTCTGTGTCCCTGAGTAACAATTCTGTGTCCCCTGAGTAACAATTCTGAGTCTGTCCCTGAGTAACGATTCTGTGTCCCTGAGTAACGATTCTGTGTCCCTGAGTAACGATTCTGTGGCCCTAAAGTCTCTGTAACTCTGTCCCTAATACAGACAGGTCTGTCTCTCTTGAATGACCGGAGGCTAATGGAGAATTGTAAGATGGCCGCAATTTATAGCTCCACCATTACACAGTGCTGGCTGGCTGGCTGCTGATTGGCTAATGCGATCACATGTCATGAATGAATGCATTATGGGTCAGCGCGCCTTGTCTGCGCGCCTTCCCAGAGATCCCCGCTCCGTCGCCACACATGTCGCCGCCATTTTTGGGAAAATTTGATTCGTGCATCCAAAGTTTGCTAATTTTCGGATTCGGCGCGAATCGAATTTTTCCTGATCTTCGAAACTAATTCCACTTCGCCATGTTCGATTCGCTCATCTCTAATTGTGACAATCAGAACTATCTTTTAGGTGAGCAGAAACAAGCAATAGAGAATGATACAGTAGTTCTATCCTTTACGCTCTTTGTTGCATAGCCATTGCTTGTAGTCCTTGTACTTTCACCAAAAACCTACACTGTTATGATCAAAGACGAATATAAAAACAATCAAAATAGTTGTGGATTACTAATGTAGCCGGCATGCAATCGTAGAAGGCAAAATGCAACCTGAGTAGTCATAGGGACTACTGAATAGCTCCAGGCTGTCAGTGAACAAAAGCCATAATCAACTGCTTTGCAGTATTTTCTGCTCAAGCATTTTGAGCATTTTGAAAAGGAACACTGCCCTCTTTAAACGATAGGTCTTGTGATTTTACTGGAAGTCAGCTGACTGTATTATGAGCTCTTGTAAAGCGTTATGTATCAATGCTCTGTAACAGACTTTTCTTATGGTGCCCCCAAATTGCTGGAGACCTGACAAAACACTTCGATTCCACATAAAAAAATTACCTGGATATAAGTTTCCATCTGTTCCTTCATCCAATATTCCATTATAATCATTGCAGTGCTTAAATAAGAATATTTGTACCCCCAGCTATGCTGCTTCTTTAGGTATTTGGTACAAAATGCAGGATATCAGTTGTAGACTGATTAGGAATGAATCATTATAGCATTCTGCAAACTTTGGCACACTAAGATATTACAATGAGTTTCCAAAAACAAAATGTTGCCATTCTTTTAAAGACCATAAATGTTCTAACTGCACCAAGAGCAGCAATGCCAGTTCAATAAGACTGTGTGAAAATATTTCAGTGAAGTGCCTCATTCTGCCTTTGATTTACTGCTTGCTCCCATAAATCCCATCTTTGTTCAAGCTTTACACAAATTCCTCTGGCTAGGCTATTGTCCATGAATTCCGGACTGCTTTATACACTTTCTATAGAATGTTCTGGACTAACAGTCCTGTTATCTCCTTGTATATATGTAGACATTGATGCACAACTCCATTAAATCACAGGAGATTTGTGTTTATTTGGATGGGGCTGAGAGCAGGGTCCTGCCATGTCACCGTTCCATCACACAGTTCCCTAACTTCCCCCATTCTGCTCACATTCCAGCAAGGATAACTAGTGAGCTCACAGGATCACCAAGGATCTCATAAATGGGAAAAAAAAATGGCTGTTTTGTCTACCAGCCTGGCTTCCCTGGTTCATTTCCAGATTTTCACATACTTTGGATGCAACTGCCCTAGGAGATTTGAGAAAAAAGGGACTCTTGTTTGGGAGAAATGGATTCAAGTCCACCAGATGATTTATAATTGTCTTTGATATCAGGATTATCTGTTCAGAGGAGGTATTTCAGGGTTTTCTTCGTGTCATTGGGACAATCTGTAAATTAAGGGTGTTTTTTTTCCTGTTGTTATAATCTATATTGTTAATGTAAAGAAAGTTTGGGATTAGGTTTACCCATTATAAAGAAAATGGCGCTAGTGTCTGTGTATAATTATGGTAGACATCAGACTATAAGTCGTCTTGGGGGACAGGAACAGTGCAGTGTTCTCTGTGAAGTTTCTACAGAAATGTTGGTGCTGTATAAATGAGTTAGATTATGCTGCTCAAGTGATGTCCTTTTTTTTCTATACATACTTCATCCTTATTCTAACTGACAATGATACGTTGTTGGTACGGTACATGATGTGCTATTTCTGTGAATATTAAAATTTGACTGAGCTGTTGCAGGCAACATGATATCATTTTTCTTACTGATTTTTACCATTTGACTGCGCAGTCTATTATAATAATCTGATAATTAAAGTGATATTAAAGTAGAAAAACTTTTTTCCATATATCAGATACTATAGAACCTACATAGGCATGCGCACAGGGTGTGCCGGATGTGCCTGGGCACAACCTAATAATCCTGTGTGGAGCAGATTTCCCCTGCTGCCCGCTGCTCTACTGACTGTCACCATGCAGTGTGCTACTGACACCATCCTCTACCATACTGACATATCTACTGCTCTACTGACACCACCCAGTGCCCTACTGACCATACATATTTTAATACATTTTTTAAAAAAAAATTTTTTCATTAATTTACACACATGCATGTGTGTTTGAGCTTTGGGGTGCATAGCCTGACCCTACATTCACATCTATGCAGGTGGTGCCGCTGTGGATCCGCACGAAAATCCATGCAGCCGCACCACCCGCACAGAGAAGTGCGGACCTGCGGGCGGGTGCCATTAGTTCTAATGGCACACTGCCCGCACTGGAAAATGCAACTGTACTGGGAACCGAGGTTCCCGTGCGGGCTGCGTTTTCCAAAGAAGTGCAGGGACTTCTTTCCCTGCATGTCACGGGCACGGGAGACCATTCAAATGAATGGGCTCTCGTGCCCATGCAAAACGCGACCCACACGGCCGCATATATGTGAACCGGGAGTAATGCAATAGGTTGCTCATACCTATGAGAACCTACATGCATTTAAAAAAAAAATGTTTTCCTCTGAGCTTCTGTAATTGTCCCCTGGCTGCGCTGTCACACTTCCACATGCCCCTGGGACACATTGAGTGCCAGAGAAGTCTCCTTTACATGTGCGCCCCAACTTGGAGCCCCCAAGTTGTCAGTCACCCCTGTGGAGGAAGAGAGGAGTGGCTTTTGCTCCATGTCCCTTTCATGCTAGCTGTAGTTCAGTTGGGAGTGCATATGTAGAGAAGGTTCCTATGGCATTCCATAGGTCCTGATGGGCACAAAACACAGCAACTGCATGCAAGTTTTGTTATTAGATATAAGGAGAAAATTACTTTAATATCGCTTTAATGCTTCTGGAAAGGCTAAAAAGTCTTAATACAGTCAGATTTGAACAAAATGTCCAACCAGCATCCTAAGCCTTTGGGCTGCTTTAGTGGCAAAACAGCAACATAACAGGCAATGTAAGGGCCTGCATCAACAGACTTTGTGTTTGTGCTGATGGTATCAGTTTGACAAGCATTTGAGAGCATTCAAGTTTCATTGACAGATGCATTTGACCTAGAGTTGCCACTTTCCTGACTGGCATTTGACCTGCTTTAAATGGGTTTTGTTTTCCAAAAGACTTATTTTAAAAAGTGAAAAACAAGTCTGACATGAATAAAAGCCCATTCCACACAGGTTTCAAAAGCAGTCCTATAATATACTGGGCCCCTATAGGGGGCTTCTCTTTCATATTTTATACCCCAGGGCTAAGGCATGAATAGATCTTTGTTACTGAGAGATTTAACTACTTGTTGACAATCCTTTTAAAAGCGCCTTGCATTTTGTGTACTAGAAATGATGTGACAGCCAACAATTGTGTTGGGTAGCTGCAGCATGGTGCGGCGGCAGAAAACCCACAGAGCCCTGGAATGCAGAAACTGATGTATTGCAGAACCTGTAAACAGTACAACAAACCCGACAGTTAAGCTTACCTGACCGAGGCACTTACAGTAGGCGTGGAGAGTCAGTAGTGCTTATGCCCAAGCAGAAGACAGCACCTGTCAAGGGTTGAGGAATGCGGCTTGGCTGGTCCAACCTAAAAGAGAGCCTCCTGAACTTCCAGACGTAGGCTCTATGCTTTCCCTACTCCTCTGGAACCTCTCATTATACCATGTACAATGTCTCTGACAGACGGGTATCCTTTCCCCACACTATCCAATCACACAATGTGCACCAAAACTCATGGGCAGAGACATAAAGTGGTAGTAAAGTCACATTGTGGATTTTTCCCTATAGGTAAGCTTATAATAAGGCTTACTTATAGGTACAATAAATATTCCCTAAACGCACACCTGTTAGGAGATATTTACTTTAGCAGCAGCTGGTGATGTCAGCAACGCATGCGCTCTAAAGGAATGGCATACTCAGGGCCTGACTGACCATTTGGAAACTCTGGCACAGCCTGAGGGCCCGGGGTCAGTAGGGGGCCCCATGAGATGCCCCTGGTACCTTTTTCATAGGCTTTTTTGAGTTTGGGCAAAGACACAGGGGCCCCATGATCCCCCTATTGCCTGGGGGCCCCATGAGTTGTCAGTCCGCCCCTGGACATACTTGTGCTCTTCCTCCAGAACTCTGCTATGGTCGTGTCTCCTGCGCACATGCGTTCATGCATTCATACAACCAAAGCCTGTGAACCTGCAAGGAAAACCGAGTGAAGATGGAATCGCCTTTTCCTGTGACAACACAGCGCTGGAGGGCTTCGTTTTCTGGGAAGTCTGTCATAATGTGCTAGTATGCGGTTTATAAAGGGGCAGACTGACCATTTGGAAACTCGAGCACTGCCCAAGGGCCCGGGGTCAGTAGGGGGCCCCATGAGATGCCCCTGGTACCTTTTTCATAGGCTTTTTTTTGAGTTTGGGCAAGGACACAGGGGCCCCATGATCCCCTATTGCCCGGGGCCCCATGAGTTGTCAGTCCGCCCCTGGGTACATACTAGCACATTATAACTTAAACAGTTTGGAGCCCTTTTTGTTTTTCTTGGTTGAGTTTACTAAAGCTTTAAAAAGACTCAATGGCCACCAGGGTCACCTAGATCCACCGTAGCCAACCGATCTCTGCTTCAGGAGACCGAGGGAATCATAGCAAAACCCACTTTTTCTTGACTTCCTCCCCCAGCTGCATTATTATTCTGGATGAGCACCACCTGCAGTGGAGAATGTAGACTGTAAACTTTCAGTAGCAAAGCTATTTCATTAATTGTATGATAATTAACCTGTGCTCAGGACAAATATTCTGTGAAAAATAAAAACAACAAATAAATCCTGAAAATACAAAAACAACAAAAGTGTGTGTTTCAATCAACACTAAGTATGATCTAACATTTAGGTAAATATAAAGGCTGCTGCTCCTATAACAGGTATAACCCTCACTGATTATTCTACATACGTTTAAGAGCAATGCCAAATATAATATGTGACAAACACAACATTAACTTAACATACATCATATGTATAATACATAAAATTAAGTCCTCAGTGTCAAACTTATTGCTGGAATAGTGCACGTGCTGCTTGCACTAAAACTTCATGGTTCATACTCTGTGCTCCCCACCGGTGATCCCGCTCACTCACCAGCTGTTGTGGACTCTTAGGGCTCATGTACACTGCAGCTGGTAAACTCACATTTAGGAGCTGTTCTGTGTTTTTTTTCAGCAGCCCCTAAACTCACCCTAATGTTTTCCTATGTGTCCATGTACATATCTTTGTTTACAGTTGTTTACAGGCATTTGAGTTTACAGTCATTTTTTTGAATGCAGAAAACTTGCATTCAGCGGTCGATTGTATCAGCGTTTCAACGTAATACGCTTGTAAACGTGGCTAAATGCGGCAAATCGCATTTATAAGCGTTTGCATTTTAATTTTTTTTTTAACTCTTCCAGTTCCCGATGCTGTCCAGAGCCTTTTTTCATCATGAAAAATGCATGCAAAGCATTTTCAAGGTACTCAAATGGACAAAACTGAAAACAGGATGTTCCTACCAAGCTTGTCACACATTGTAATGACCAATTCACACCTAAGAACTCTCCCACCCTTGGAAACAAAAGATATGTTAATGACCATTCACACCTCAAATTCCTCATGAAGATTCCCTGCCAGGTGGCCTTAATGACTCCCTCCACCAGACACCTTTCCCACCCTTGGAAACAAAATAAATGTTAATGAGCAACTCACACCTAAACTAATCTCAACACATACTGCTGTCTTTGCTTCTACTCTCTGTATTTCTCTGAAATAGTTGGTTAATAATTTAACACCTTTCAGTGCATTCTGGACATTTGGGAGGTTTTCCTCAGCTTATCTTTAAAAAATGCACCAACCAACTGGAACTTGTCAGCAATTCTTCAACTCCTTCCTTTGTCTCAGCTGACGCAAAATACCTGGTGCTTGGATCCAACAGCTAATTACTATGCCCAAGCACTGTGACCTGATTAAGGGGGGACGGCAGGGTTCCCTCTGGGTTTTGATATTGGGTATTTTGGTGCAGGCTACAATGGAAGGAGGAGTATCAGGGGGTCGTTAGAAAGGTAATTAGCAGATGGTTGTTGTGCGGGATCGGGGGATAGAGCTGCCACCCTTTAAAACCCGAACACATATTAATTACATGGGTTCTGAGGCTAATTTAATGCAGATAAGGCACTAGGTGAGTTTAATTACCACCTTAAACAGCCACATAACCCGTGTAAATTATATGTGTCTGGTTTTAAAGGGATGAGGTGGCAACCCTAGAGGTGGCACATTTTAACAAACACTGTCACTTTGCTCTGAATGGGAAAACTCTCAGCATCTCTCTTAGCAATCTCTAAAAGGCCAGATTAGGCAATGATCCAATGTCTATGGAGCATCACATGACAGTAAAACTCATGGGGCCCCCGAATAGGGGCAATCAAAAAAGCCTATGAAAAAGGTACCAGGGGCATCTCATGTCTACCCCGGGCCCTGGGCAGTGCCCGAGTCACATTGTCAGTCCGCCCCTGAACAACCATCAAACAACTGGTTTGATGACGGAAAGTTGCAACTGTCTTTTCCCCTCTGGGAACTGTTTACATGTGGCTTCCCCTCCTTCATTCATTGCCCTCAGCTGAAGGACTAAAGCTGGCCATACAATGATGAAAGTAATGCAGGCCACACATGGGTTGAATTCCTAACGATTTTTCATCCAAAAATCGAAAACGTTGTTTATTCAGTACCACAAATGATTTTGAAAATCGGCCGACCAAGTCATAAAGTTCACCCCATATAACAGGCAAAACTTCTGTTCCTTCCAGGTCACGAATCATGCACATATTCTTTTCGAAAAAATGATTGTACGATTTGACCATCATTGAGTTGAAAATCTGGTAGTTTTTTACAAATTTTCTAACATGCCCGATCACCGAAAAGGGGAGGAACCACGAAAATTAGCCGGTGCCATTGACCCACTAACAGAGCAAAAATTGGCCCATTATTCTTAGGTCCGATTTTCGGACGAAAATTCGGTCAAATTGCGACCTATGTATGGCCGGCATTAGACTGGTTCAGCAGGGAATGGACAAATTTTGTTCAGGGTGTGGCCATCCCTTATTGACTTCCATCAAAGTGAAATGCTGGAAAACCTTTGTCGATCAGTGACTGAAGCTAATTGCCTGAATACAATGTCCTGACGCTAGGATTCCTCCTTCCATCTACCTCATTTTGTGTGGATGGAGGAATCTAACCATCTATGGGCAGCTTTATCATCCCAGGAAACATTATGAGTTAGGTGGTTCATGGTTGCACATCCAACAATTCTTCTATGTCTATGACTGCCTTTAGACCTTAAAATATGTTGGCAGGACTCCATCCTTTTTCCCGACCTATCATAAAAGTAATTTGGGAGCTACCATTACTGTCTTCCTTCTGAAAATGGTAGTTGACTGGGAGATATGCTAATCCTCTGGATTCTTTCTGAGTTACTAACAGAAACAAGTATACAAGATCCTTAGCCAAGTCTTCATTCACTTACTAACTCAAATTATTGCAGAGAGAGGATCAGTGTAAGAGCCAGGAACCTAGCATTTTTAGAAGGTGAGGTCTACAATGGCAGCCTCCATATTTTTCTCATGACCAATTTTCTTTGAATTTAACTAAGAGCTCATCTTGTTTATTATTATCTCATACACTCAACGGCCACTTTATTAGGTACACCTGTTCAATTGCTTGGCAAAGTAGACCATACATGGGTCGAATTCCAAACGATTTTTCGATTGTAAATTGAAAACATCGTTTGTTCTGTAATCCGATGGTGCCATCAATGATTTTGAAAATTTGTTCGAAAATTGACCCATGTATGGCCAGCCTAACACAAATTGCTAATCAGCCAATTAATTACATGGCAGCAACTCAATGCATTTAGGCATGTAGATGTGATGAAGATGACTTGCTGAAGTTCAAACCGAGCATCAGAATGGGGAAGAAAGGGGATTTAAGTGACTTTGAATGTGGCATGATTGTTGGTGCCAGACAGGCTGGTCTGAGTATTTCAAAAACTGCTGATCTACTGGGATTTTCACGCACAACCATCTCTAGGGTTTACAGAGAATGGTCCAAAAAAAAGACAAAATATCCAGTGAGTGGCAGTTGTGTGGATGAAAAATGCCTTGTTGATGTCAGAATGGGCAATGGGCAGACTGGTTGCTGCGACATTCAGATGGTAGGGTCAGAATTTGGTGTAAACAACATGAAAACATGGATCCATCCTGCCTTGTATCAACGGTTCAGGCTGCTGCTGGTGTAATGGTCGGTGAATGTACATTTTCCAGTCAGTTGTGAGAATATCCAACGTTTGCATGAACAAGACCAAACTTTGCAGGTGAACGAACTGCCTCCCCCACCTGAGCTAACAAAGTCAGATGATATCCTGTAGCAAAACATTTCCAGTTACCATGGCAACCTCACTGCACATTCCTCAGCAGTGAGATATTCCTGGCAGTGTGGGAATATTTAAAGGAAAGCCATCCTCTGAGAAATCTGGAGGTTGCCATTACTGACCTTCTCAGCTGAACATGCTGGTTGTCTGACTGATTCTCACACTGATCTGAGTCACTGGCCCGGAAGAAATGTGCACAATACAGGGTGCTGTGGGCTTGTCCCGGGTCTGCAATGCAGAATATATCAGTGGTTCCACCCACTGTCATTAGATGAGGAGAAATCCTTTGCTTTCTGGATCTGTGTTTAAGACACCTAGATTTATTTATTTATTTTTATATTTAAAAAAAATGAAATAAATCTATTATATCTAATCTATATATGATTTAACCAGATTCGACAAATATTTAGCTGGATTCAGCGTGCAAAATAACAAAGTGCCTTTTTTAAAAATAAAATGTGTTTCCTTTTTTGTCATCCTTTGTTGTCTATTAGGGCTGCTGATCCCCTGCGGGCCAATTGCAGTCACTTCCTATCTCCATTTCCTCCAGTGGTAGCTGCAAGGAATTTCCCATAGCAATTTCCTGTTGGTGAGGACAGTAGACGATGTATGCATAGTGTGTGTTAAAATGATCACTTGTGACCTCCATGGGAAGCCCGAGTGACAATGCAGAAGCACAATTAGGATACAGGAACAGAGCACAGGGTTACCGACTTGTGGAAGTGTCCCATGCCTGTGCCCCCCGCTGCATGCTGTGCTTCTTGCCTCTGATCTTGATTCTTTAATAACCACTTGCCTACCGGGCACTTTCACCCCCTTTCTGCCCAGGCCAAGTTTCAGCGCTGTCGAACTTTGAGTGACAATTGCGCGGTCATGCAACACTGCACCCAAATGAAATTTTTATAATATTTTTTCACACAAATAGAGCTTTCTTTTGGTGGTATGTACTCACCGCTGGGTGTTTTTATTTTTTGCACTATTAACAAAAAAAGAGCAAAGATTTCGAAAAAAAAAGTTTTTTCTAGTTTCTATTATAAAATTT